ATCTTTGTGCGCGTCGCCTTATTCAACAGGGCCGCTGCCAAGGTCGTCGCCTCCATCTGCGTTGAGCAGAACCCTCTTAGGAGGTCAGCCTCTTTAAATCACGCCATCGACCACACGACCGCATCCTCCACTACCCCCAGGAGATGATCGGCGGCAACCCTGGCGTCGTCCCCTTCTTCTGCCGATCGACTGGCCACCGCGCGATGTGATACGTGGCGGTCTTCAACATGGCGCTCATTTCTGATCTGCTCACTCCCCCTTTTCCTCCCCAGGACTTAGGGACACTTCTGGCACAGGCCCAATCTTGGGTGATTGCTATCCCAATCTCTCACCTCATGTTACCTACTTTGGCTCAACTGTGCTAATCACCACTTAGGCATTTAGGCCCATGTCTTCTCCTATCCCCATCCTTGTCTCCCCCATATATACTTTTGGGGCTGCTTCTGCCATCCTTTCCTTCACCTTCTTCAAAATCGGTCCCTCCCTCACTCTCCTCTATAGCCGCTCTCTTTTTCTTCAACACCTTATCCACCTCATGTTTTCTCCTCTCCTTTAGTGGATCCACTAGGGGCGGCAGCAGCGTAAAATCAATAAGATCCTTATCTCCCAGAGGCTTGGGGCGTGGTCGGATTCGCTCTTTCATGACCAGCTTAGGCGCAGGGCCTAACTGCAATTCTTTATACTTGTCGACCTTGGCAAATGTCCTCTGCTCCTCTGCCTCCTGCATCTTTCTCCTCGCCTCCAACTTTTTCGACACAGGGTCCTCCTCGGTCAGTTGTGGCCCCAGACTCAAGGCAAACAAGGTCAAAGGCCTAATAAGGTCATCCTATTTCACGCCCTCTTTCTCCCTTCACTCATTCACCCATTTAACTTTATTCTCTGCCTCTGCCTCCAGCCTTGGTTCCACCGACTTGATGGGAATTTTCCATATTGTATACACCCCTCTCTCGTCATTTGCTGATACGTAGAACCACCTTGGTCCCCACCCCTTCACCGATGATGGCAAACCCACCACTAATCCTCTGCCCGTCACTGCCTACAAGGTCACCCATGTTTCTTATTGACCAGAGGCCTTATAGCAAGAAAAGAACTCCTCCACTATCATCGATGCTCCCCCGGTCGCCCGTGGCCATGCGATCGGGCAAGCCAGTAATATTTTCCATGTGTTGGGCGTAAGCTGCCCTGGCGCCACCTCCATTCAGTTCAGCACGTCCACCACTATTTGTGGGAGCGGCAACCTCAGATCCCCCACAAAGCCTCCGCGTACAGCGTAAACTCTATCGGACATGCATCCGACGCCCTCTCCTTAAATGTGGGCAACTTCAACTCTATCTCCGCTGGAATCTGGTACTTTTTATGCACTTCCTCCAACTCCTCTGCCGCAAATGTCGACTTGTCAGCCTTGGTGTGCCAGTGGCCAGGTCCCACTTCGCTAATTGGCCTTGCGGCCACGATCATGGTAAACGAATGAGGTCGCGTCGCTTGCTCTACCCCTCTTTCCTCTCGTCTCTCTATCCTATATTGCTCCGCCAACTCTACCGCATCGTCTTTACCTAATGTCTCTAACTTCATGGCTGGCGCTTTGTCTCGAGCCATCTTTTTTACATTTTTGTGTATTGCTTCGGACGCTAGCACAAGGAAGTTCACAAACTGTTGGAGGGGAGTGTCACACGAAACGAATGAGGTCAAGTCTGGGATGTATTGGTTTCTCGCAATGAGATATATAAAACAAATAACTCCAAATGCCCACGGTTTGCCTATATTCCAAGGATCGATATTAAATTTCGCCAGTTTGAAAATTTCAAAAGTTTCCACCTCCGCCTTTTCCACATCCTATCTTAGTCCTAACCTTTCGCTTCCTGCTAACGCATCACCTCTCTCACCATTGGATCATGCCACGTGTACAACCACAATTCACCACCCTTTTCCCCCTTCCTTGTCTATTCCACTTCACATCATCACGTGCTTCATCGCTCCTCGAGCCCCGCGCGTCTCTACCACTTTTCTCTCGACCCCCCTTCGCAGTCGGCTCTCCTCTCGGTCGACCCCCCTCTTCGCGGTCGGCCTTCCTCTCGGTCGGTCTTTTCGCTCGGCCCCCCTTCGCAGTCGGCCCTCCTCTCGGTTGGTCTTCTCGCTCGGCTCCCCTTCGCGGTCGATCTTCGCAGTCGGCCCTCCTCATATTTGCCCTTTCACTCAGTCCTACACACTCCCCATCTTTTTTCTTATTCCCTTTGTTAAACTGAAGCTGCATTTGAGAATAGGGGACTACTGACATCGGTGGGCCCATAAAAGGCTTTAGCCCACCACTTAGAGCCCAATCCATAGTTCAAGTACTAAAGCCCAACACCCTTGAGAACCTAGTGTTAAACTAGGAACCAATGGCATCTAAACACATGTCAAGCAGGGAACCAGCCACGTAAGCAAACAAAGATCCTGCAGAGTTATTGCACCGCACATCAGCCATTAATGACGCTCCCACAACATTAAATGCGATAACCCCTTCACGTCAGAACATGCAACCTCACCGTGAGCAATGCAAGCTAGAGTATAGACTTTTGGCCAACACGATAGGTCGGAGTGGACAAGAAAATGATGAACAAAGGATATAAGGAGGTTTTCAAGACACATCAAAGGTTAAGTTCTCCATTCTTTTCTCTCTCTCTTTCTCTCTCTAGACAGTAAATCTCTCATTTTCTAACTTGATCGTCAGAGGGTCCGCTGGGGGACTCCCATTCCCTGTTGGACTTTTTTGCAGGCACCACCAACGAGCTCCGAGACCGGTGAAAGGTGTTGGAAACGTGGATCGACCCGACTCGCCCAGCAGTGTCATAAGCTTTTATTATATTTTCTATAAAATTGCACAAAAATATGTGGCTACGAAATAATTGTTAATTAAATGGGAACTTAAAATAATTACATTCAACATGAAAACTTTTTAATATATATATGGTAAATATTTCTTTGTTGTCTCTCTTGTTTTTTTGTCCTAATTTCTCTCTTTTCCTTCCGTCTTACTCCACCATATTCAAAAAAGGTGTAAACGGTGTAGTAACTGTTGAGAGAAAGTTTAGCACAAAATTAAACCTTTCAATTTTGATATTTAATAATCTGACACAAATCATATATTACAATTCGATTTTGTCAGTTTAGTGTAAATAAGAGATTTACATAATATTTTAAAAGGTTTTATAAAATTTGTAGAATTCACATTGACGATAAACGAAGAAAAAGTATAAAAAATGCTCTATAAATATATCTCATTCTCTAGTTTTTATTATTGGTGTTATTATATTGATCACTTAACTTTTGATGTCTAAATTTTCGATAACCACAATCGATTGTCAACAGTAATTTTTTAATGACTCTTCGGCGAAATGAAATATCATTAACTTAGCACAATAAAATCATCCAACAACCAATTTTGGTGATTTTTTCGGCAAAAGTGAAATTTTATTATTTTCATAAAAGATAAATTTTAATTAATAGATAAAAGCATAGTGAAATTTATTTGATCCAACCCAATTAAACAAATGAAATTTCACTACGCTAGCCCATAGAAATTTCTTTGTGTAAACCCCAAACCTTAGCTAAAAGCATAGTGAAATTTAATAAATTTCAAGATAAGAAAATTTCAATTGATGATTATACGTTATAAAATTAGAAGTCAACGAAATTTTCACTCTCATACCTAATGAAAATTCACTGAGTTAGTTTCACTGACTCTAGTTTAAATCCAATGAAATTACACGATGTTAGTGAGATTTCATCATTTTGGGAAGATAGTTATAATCAACTTTTTGGTGAAAAGATACTTATAAGCAGCTTTTTTGTGAGAGAGGAAGTGGGTTATAATCTGAGAAGTGGATTATAACCCACTTCCCAAAATAGACCTAAATTTGTCTAGGTCAATAAATTTTTTATGAACAAAGGCAATGAAATTTTACTAGCTTTTGACAATTTCATGTATCTTAAAAAAGGCAATAAAGTAGATTTTTTTTTTTATTTTCTCGCTAAAAATCAATTTTAGCCAAACACTAATCATTCTCGATTGAAGTGTTGATATCTTCTACAACATCTTTCGATAGTGGTGAACAATCCAAAGACATGATTAGATCAACCAACATTTGGCCCATTAGAGGTTATAATCTCTTAGCCCAACCCATTCCTGGGGCATTCACTCAAAAATCAACAACAAATGGCCCATGGTAATGATGCATGGGCTCAACAATCTTGAGAAATCCCAAGGCCCTCAATGGCTTGGCACATCATATTTGGTTCAAACAAGGCCCAACTGAACAGCACCAACATAAACTATTATTTTTCTGCTCAAAATTCTAGCTTGTTAGCATTTCCTAAGCCAATTTAGCGATGGGCAACCTTCCAGAGCTAGGACCTCTTTTGGACTGGCCGAGCACGCCTAAGCCTTGGGAGATCAATCTGGCAGCCATCCAGCCCAGAATGGCGTGCATTTTTTGTCTGTTTTTCAGTCCTCAACAAGGGCTCAGATCACAAGCTAATGATCTACAGAGAGTTTGACAAATGATCAGCTCACTCAATAGGTAATTCCTTGAGATAAGTGGTCTGGAAGACAAGAATGAGCAGGGACTTTGGCATGTATCCTTCAGCAGCAGAGTACAAAGGAAATGAGTTGGTTCTCATTTGAACCTTGTAAGATCATTTAGATATGTACCATATACATGTCTGGCACCCTCCATGTCATCTTCCTATTGATTGATGTCATTTCAGTCCTTTCCATCCTTTTCAGCAAGTACAAGTCACTTGAAACTAACAAAAAACGATAAGTTCTGATCTTTTCCACTTCTTTCATATCCTCCTAGGCATTAAATGCCCACAACACCTGTCTCAACTACAATACACCCCTTTTTCTATATATGAAAATCTTTTTTCCTCTATTAATGCAACAAGATTGAGAGATTCTAAATCTAGCTACCATTACTGGGAATCTTCTCTTCGATTTTGATGACAAAGTGCGCGTCCCTTTCATTTTCATATCTTCTTCTTTTTGCACTTCATTATTTTCCACCATTTCACCCACATACTTTCAATTTTCTTTACCTACGGAAAATTTGACAAGTGGATGCAATTTTAAGCACCAGGAGAAAAGAGTCCAAGGAGACCAAAAGAAGTCATGGCTGCATATAATGGAAAGATGAGAAGAAACAAGAATATTGGTGGATAAAAAGAGGTTTATCCATACTCTATAAACCATAGCCTTGGACACAAGCTAATAGAAGTGTGATCTCATAAATCAAGTTTCATGCAATACACTAATGAATTAATTAATTAACTATCGCAATAAGGTCCAATTCACTTTGTATCACACGCAATGCTCAACATGTTGGGAGAAGTAAGGAGATTCCTTTACTTTGATTCATAGATAATGGAGAGCAGTGTGTGACATTTCTCCTTTCTCTTCTTCTTTTTCCTTTTTGGAGGACTTGTTCTCCTAATCTTATACTTTGTTTCTTTATTAATAAAATTTTGTTGATAAAAAAAAATGTTGGGAGAAGTGTGATAAAAGAAACAAAGAGATCTTACCGATGGAAGCCCTTCAATGGATGCCAAGGCCATGTCGAACACCTTTCTCGCATGATCAATATTCCCATAGGCAGCCTCTCTTCGTGCATAAACTCCGCACAACAATACATCCTATAACAACAAATTACAAAAAAAGACAAAAGAAGGAATCCAACAACGCTATGTAAGGCTGAAGTGCCAATCAAAGAATAATGGAGTTTCACTTCAATCAATCTCATGCTGTAATTTAACAAGGATGACATCATAAACAAACAAGATCCCAGATGAAACATACACATTAATGGCAAATCGTTACGCAATTAAGAGGTGGCTTTGGTTACAAGCATTAATCAAGAAGCACGGACACTTCTAAGGAAGTGGCATGTTGTGTCGGACATCAAATCGAACACTGACACAACATGACATTCATCGGACACTTCTCGACACCAATCGGACACGCGTTCAACATGTCCTATTTTTTAAAAAAAAAAATCTAGACTCGGACACATTTCAGACACTTGGGAAACACATGTCTATCATTTAGACACACATGAAACACATTACAAGTTTGAATAAAATAATGGAATCCAATGATAAAAGAAAAACAATGAAACTTATTTTCCTCCTTTAGACTTTAAAAAAGCAAAGATTGATTACATAAAAGTCAAACATCTCAATTACCAACCCACGATTCACAATCCAATAATGTCAAAACCATGTCACTGAACTATGTTGAGCTCATGGAATATAATTTAAAGTCCTAAAGTCATATCAATATGAAAGAACAATGTGCATGTTTCGCATAAGAAATAAAATCACCTGACGATTACTTTTCACGAGGCGCTTTGCTAAAGCACGACAAGGGGTGACTGAACAGCTACAAGAATTCATTTTTGTATTCCATAGCTCTTCAGCAACAAGAACTGCTTCTTCTAAAATGTAGTTACGTGGGAATGCAGTCAAACAAAGTAGGGTAGCATTGCAGAGAAATTTCATCATGTCAGTCCTCATAGAGATGTCATTTGAGCTGCCCAAAAGGAACTCAAAACTAAAATTACTTGGACTCCTTTCTGTTTTACTTATAACATCATGGACCCTTCTCAAATGATCTAATATAGAATCTGGCAGTGACTCTAAGCTTAGAGTTTTTGCGGACCAACTTGAACTGTTTGTGCAAGTCCTGTGCAAAAAACAAATAAATATAAATATATACATAACAACAAAACATTTGTACAGTTACAGTTAATTCAGTAATGTATTGCAAGAGTGTCATCATCCAATCACTCATAGACATACTACTAACCACTTAGATATCCTCCCACCATAGAAATCAATGAATTGGAACACAAGAGATAAACGAGCTTCCTCTGAACTTATAGAGAATAGGTACTCGCTGACATCTTCAAATAATATAACTCTCAAAAGTTGCTCATCGCCCTCTCTATCAGCTGTTCCATCACTGTGAGAAATCCCAGCTGTTTTGGAGTCATAATTAATTTATTATCATCAGAAATAGTTAAATTTGATTTATTAGAAAGAAAGAAAAAAAAAACTAATCAAAAATGATTTATTAGAGAAAAAAGGTTGTATGTAACATTTGCTTCTTTTTTTTTGGGTAGGTAAACAATTGCTTTGAATGAACATGGAAACATACAATCCAAACATGTTTATATGCAAACCAAAGGAAACTTTGAAGCATTTTTTTTTTTTTGGATAAGTAAGCAAATATTATTAAGAAAGCATCAAGATGATGCAACCATAGTTGTCAAATCGAGATTCGTATCGTGAATCGAAATGACTTTGTACCAAATCGCGAATTGAATCGAATCAAATCGTGAATCGTAAAGATTTGGTCACTTTCTTAAAATTACGTAAAAATATATATTTACACATTTAGATGTTAAATATATCTTATGAATATGAAATATTTAGACTTAAATCAATGAAAATGTTATTTTGAGTGATAATCATGCAGTTTAATAGGTAAGAAGTTAACAAAGATTCTTGTGTAAGATCTGTTGGCAAATAAATTTCAACTAAATTTATGACACGTATAGAGCCTATGATAGGAAGGTTGTAAGTAATCACTTCCTAAAAAAAGATCAACATGATAATAAAACGGCATTGTATCTCAACGACGTTATTCAAGATACTCAAATGACACGTGAAGCCTACGAAAGATGACACATGTAGAGCCTACATCAAGGACACCACACAGGATGAAACCCCAAAGATCAATCGGGTTAATCAGATATACGATTAATCAGATAGCGCTATTATTTAAAATTCAAATGGCGCTATCAATATTTGCTTAACAAGATCACTATCTTACTTTTTTTCTTTTTAGATATTTCTTATCAACCATTCTTAATAAAGATAATAACCAAATAGACAAATTATCAATTTCCAAAATAACAATAATTAATAACGATATTGATATTTGGACAATAAGCATACGTACTTTTCTAAGTAACAGTGAGCAAATAATAAGAAAGAATTATTTAGAATATTTTATTTTAAAGCCTAAAACATTTTCAAAGTTATAACAGACCTCACATATGTAATATTCAATTTAATAAAATAGCAATAGATAATTCATAGTGTAAGTTGCAACCAATTCAAGAAAACCACCCCAGAAAGGGGAACCAATAAAACAAGGGCTAACCAATCATCTCATCTAAAAAATCTAAAAACACAAATAAATCCAGATCTACCCTACCCTCCAACCAACTATACAAAACTAGAATAAGACGACTTTGTAACTAAGAAACACTATAAGAAACCTGTAAGAAGGTACGTCTATTCCGCTCCAACCAAAGCAACCACATCAAACAGAACAGAGCCAATAACCAAGCTCGTCGCCGCCGCCGGCGGCGGCAAGGAAGTTAAGGAGGTGGGGTCTGTGGCCTATCAGTCTAGCCCACAAGCAGGTGGCTTTTCAAGCCCAACAGGGGATGGTGATTTGGGCCTTTCTGGGCAGCCCAATAGTCTTGCAGATTCTTTTGTGGGTCGGTTTGAGGGTTGGATGGGTTGTAGGGCTTCATGTAACCTACATCCAGGTGGGTCAGATCGAGTGGCTTCGATAGGGGTAGGTGCTCACCGGTGAGGATTTGAGTTGCCGTCCGAACTGGAGTTGGTGGTCCACTGTGGCCTATCTGCTGATGAACAAGGGTCATGACTGGTAGTGGCGTCGGAGAGTGGCAGTTCACAGTCGGCGGCCTCAGAGTCGGATGAGCTGGAGATAGAGATGCCTTGCGATGCGCCATCTGCTGATGAACAAGGGTCGCGACTGGTAGTGGAGTCGGAAAGAGGTACTTCACAGTCGGCGACCTCAGAGTCGGTTGAGCGACAGTCCTAGTTGGTGATAGAGATGCCTCGCGATGCGTCTTGGGATGACCGAGGTGGGATGGGGCACGATAGTGATGGACAGTCACAGGTCTTGGAGTTGTAGCCCTTAGCAGTGCGGGATAGTGAATTGGTCACTTGTTTGAAACAAAAACAGAGGTTTGAGGATACAGGTGGATTATCGGGGGAGGAAATCCCTTCGGCTGAGGCTGTGTCCCAGTGGGTGTTGGATCGGATTAGTGAAGTTAGTCGTTGCTTGGGCCTGTCATTTGAAGGTCATGAAGAAGAGACAATGTGACTTTTTGCGGCAGTGGAGGCTTCATGGCGGTAAAGGACTCCTAGTTCAGGGGTGTCTCGGTCATTGGTGACCCCTTCTAAAGGTAATCGGGAGCTCAACAATTTGAAATGTACTGTGAATTAAGATCATGGTGTGAGGAATGTAGGACGGGGTGAAAGGAGAGATCAGAGGGGCCCATTGTTGTTGAAATAAAGTTAAAAATTGTATCGTGGAATGTGCGGGGTTTGAACGATAAGGACAAGAGGGTGGCGATGAAGGCAGTGTTGTGGAGTACCAAAGCGGATGTTGTATGTTTACAAGAGATGAAGATGGAGGTGGTGGGGGTGGAGTTGATTCGCGAGGTGTGGGGGGGGAGGTTTGTGGAGTGGACCTTTTTGCCCTCTTTAGGCACGGCAGGTGGGGTTCTTCTCTGTTGGGATAAGAGGGTAGTGGTGAGGGAGGAGGAGGAGGTAGGAGGATTTTCTGTATCATGTTTGTTCCGTTGAGTGGAGGATAATTTCCGGTGGGGTTTTACTGGGGTTTATGGACCTGTGCAGAATTCAGAGTGGGGTCTGTTCTTGGAGGAGATGGAGAACATAGCCTTTCGCACATTTTTAATGAGATTACAATCAAAGGAAACTTTGAAGCATCAAACACAGATGAGTGCTGCAATTGCTTTAGATAATAAATATGATTTAAAAAAAAAAAAAAAATC